ACAAGCAGGGGGTGTGGGAGAGGGAGAAGCAGGCTCCCCGCCGAGCAGGGAGCCCGATGCGGGGCTCGATCCCAGGACCCCGGGATCATGACCTGGGCCGAAGGCAGATGCTTAACGACTAAGCCACCCAGGCACCCCTCGTTTCAGCTTTTTCATTTCCCTGTGTTAAGTGAGCTCCTTGGCAAAATAGGCTGCCCTCCCTGTCTCTGCTTCCTCAAGTCCAGCTTGATTTATAAAACTGTAACATGGCTTTGTGATTACAAAAGTAACACATGTTTAGTACAGAACATTTGGAAAATAAAAATATACCAACAAGAAATCCAAAATTTATCCATGATCCCAGAATCCAGAGGTAACTGTTATTAATACTGTGTTTTGGTATATTTGCTTCTAGAATTTGCTCTCTCTCTGTGATTATGAGGAAATGGGATACTGTTGTATATACAGTTGTGCATTCTGCTTTATTTTCTTACATATACAAGCTCAACGTAGTGAAGTGACTCCCTTGGGGGCAATTTCAAGTCCCACCTCCTTGGTAAGCCTTTCTCTTACAATCCTTCTTCAGGTGACACAGCCCCTCCCCTCTCTCCTCCTCCACTTTACTTCCTTAACCCTTGCACTTAACACTTAATTAGGCTCCATTAGGCTGCTGACTGACAGTGACCTCTACCTGCCTCATGGGCAGGGACTGTGCCCCAGGCCACTGAATCCACAAGGTCTTATTAGCACCCAGCTGTCTAGAAACCTTGAGGTGGGAACTGTCAAAGAGTAGACACAAGAGAAACTTGAGACACAGACCCTGCTAGAAGGGGCATACTGTCTGCTGAGAGGAGGAGGCCCCATTGCCCCAAACCCCAGCAACGTGAGAATTGTGTGCACTTGGCAGAGTGCCACCAGATGCAGCTCTGAAAAGCCTGCGAGCCTGCAAGCTGGGCTGGGATGGTCCCAGTGGTTTCTGGAAGAGGTGGCTCACGAACATGCCTCTGATCACTTTCCCAGTGTCTTGCTAGGGGGGCCTAGGACTAGGACCTTAGGAACAATGCATTGAATTGATTGGAATCTGCAGATTCCTAAACATCCATCCAGAACTGAGTTCTAACCATGCAGCCCTGCACCAACCCCAGGGGAGGTGGGACGACCCAACCCGCTTGTGTGAACTGCCCCTCCCCAGCTAGGGGCCCCATACTTTCTCAACGAAGAGCCCTGGCCTCGTCCTGGGGCAGGCTGGGATACCTCCGGCCTCCAGCCCTTCCTCCCTAAGAATGTGGTTTCTCTGAGCAAATGGATTTGCCTAAGTGGAGGTATTAACTGCCAGTTTCCCAAGGGTTCCCATAATGTGCTGTGTACGCCTCAAGCAGCCAGTTCCATCAAGCATTTCATTATCCTCCTTGGATGTATTACTTTCTGGTTAGCTCTCAAGAGACAGTTTATTATCTTCTTAACAAACCGTCGTTATTTATAAGCAATAAACAAGGCTTCAGGCTGGGGGTCCCCACACCACGCCCTCTTAGGGAGGTTAAATGACCTCTCTCGGGGCGCCTGGGTGTCTCAGTCGGTTAAACTGTTGCCTTCGGCTCAGGTCATGATCCCAGGGTCCTGGGATCGAGCCCCACCTCGGGCTCCCTGCTCAGCGGGGAGCTGCTTCTCCCTGTCCTCCCCCTTCGTGCTTTCTCTCGCTATCTCTGTCTCTCACTCTCTCTCTCAAATAAATAAATAAAATCTTAAAAAAAAATGACCTCTCTCATTTCCTTCTGAGGCATCTTGCTCTGGGGGCTCTCTTGACCCTTTATTTGATTTTTTTTTTTTTTTTTTTTGGACATTTTCTAGCTATCTGTAAGGCAGGTTCTCCAACAAGTTTCTCTGGTTGTGAGTCCTCCCCATTTTTTAAGCTTAAATTCTCTGTCACTCATGTATTTGCTATCAAAGAGCACTTACTTGAGCACCTCCTACGTCAGGCACATTGTTGAGCCCTGGGGACGTGGAGATGGAGAAAACAGAGTCGCAGGGCAGAAAGATGTGACAATAGAGAGGGCTGGTATGGTTCTGGCTTGCGTGCCAGGCTAGAGGATGTGCCCGCTAAATATGGTGAGTCATTCAACCCTCACAACAATATTGTTAGGTAATCTTGTTATCCTCATTTTAGAGTTGAGAATGCTGAGGCACAGAAAAGTTAATTAAGGTGGCCAAGGTCACACAGTTAGAAAAAGTAAGAATGAGGATGGTAGCCCAGGCAGTTTGGTTCCTGCATTTGGCCACTCTGGTGTAGCGTGTAATAAAGTTGCATGAGACAGAAGTCCTAGGAGGCGAGTACTTGTGAGTAGTAGGTACTGATTCTGCCGGGGAGAGTCTGGACATTTCCTCTGGGACAGTGAATGGGCTCTAAACTTCTTCCTCAGCAAACTACTCTGGTGCCGGGAGATTTTGATTTCTTCCTGGAGGTGAAAAGCACTCACTCTCCCAGTTTGTCTATCCTTAGGGAAGTTAACACAACCCTGAACTCTTTGTTTGTAGACCCTTGGGGGGGAATTAGCTGAGCATCAGATGGATGTTCTTCATCAGCCTGGAGGAAGAGAGCAGGGGAGTGGCGAGGGTGAGAAAGAATTCTTCTGGAGCATGGGGCATCCACAGCTTTCAGGCGGCAGGATGGCAGAACCCACTCTTTTCTGAACCACTAGAAAGGAGATACCCAGTGTAGACCCACACAAGGAAGGAGGAAGGGAAGTAGTTGGAAGGTTCTCGAAATGAACTTCTCTACTTCCTACTTGTCTAATTACAGATTACATGTTCCATCTGGTACTTTTGTCACACCCACTGAGTAGAGAGGCAAAGATCGCATAGAAGAGAAAAACATGAGGGCCACGGTATCAAAAATATATTTTTAAATCATCATATATTTTTAAAAGGCACAAACCTCTCTTGACCCCACAGACTCCTTTAACCCCCATGTCTCTTTGGCAAAAACTGCCCTCTTCTTCTCATCCCGCTTGCTCTTGAGCCCATCTTCCCAGGCTCCATCTCCACTCCATGGAATCTGCTCATGCCAAGGTCCCTTCGTCCCCTCCATGTCACCACATCCAGTGGTCATCCCTCAGTTCCCAGTTCCCTGGCCCAACAGATCAGCAGCTTTGGCGTAGCTGACCCCCTTTGCTTTCATGAAACACTTTTCCTGCTTGGCCACTGGGAACTACTTTTTCTGGGCTCTCTTCCTAGCCCCCTGGCCAGTTCTCCTTCTCCCTTGCTGGTTTCTCCTCATTTTCTCCACCACTAAGCACTGGAGTGCCCCAGGGCTCCATCCCAGATACCTTCCCTGTCTTTGTGCGCTTCTCTGTCTTCCTCCCCATCTTCTGGCCTTCAGTGACCTCCCCAGGGAACTGTCTCCTCAACACCTCTATTGAGTGTCTAATAAGTATCTCAAACTTCACATGTCCACAAACTCCTGATCTTCCCCCTAAAACCTGCCCCTCTCAGTCTTCCTCATCTCCATAAATGACAATTCCATCCTTCCAGTTGTTTCCGCCAAACCCCTTATCTATCCTTGACTTCTCTTTTCCTCTAATATGTCAAATCTAATCTGCAATCAAATCCCATTGGCTCTACTTTCTATATACATTCCAATTTGGATCACTTCTCTCCACCTCCACTACCCTGACCTGCGCCCAAGCCACCATTAACACTCGCCTATACAATTGGAATAGCTTCTTGATTGGTTGCCCTGCTTCCACTCTGTTCCCCAATCTCCTCCTTCCTTGCACCTCACTTCAGCCAGGTTGAGCCTTTAAAAATGTATGTCAAGTATATTACCTCAGCTTAAATCCCTCCAAGGGCTTCCCACCTCCTTATCTCTCCTCCTCTCTCCCCTCCTACCACATGGCTTCCTTGCTGTTCCTCACATGGACAACCCTTACTCTGCCTAGAAAGTTCTCATGACAGGTATCCACATGGCTTTCTGTTTCAAGCATCTATTGCTACAAACCAGATCACCCCAAAACTTAGTGTCTTAAAATAATGCCAGTATATATTTTGCTCATGAATCTTCACTCTGGGCAGGCTCTCTAAGGATAGCTCAGCCCTGCTTTCCTAGACAGCTGAGCATGCTCATCCACATGCTGGGAATGGATGTTGGCTCTTCCAAGGGACCTCAGCTCGAGCTCTGTCCCAAATAACATGTGGTCTTTCCATGTGGCTGCTTCACTTTCTCATAGAATCTTATTGGGTTCTCAGAGGGAGCATCTCAAGAGGACCAAGCAAATCTTATGGCCTCTTACAAGTTAGCATGAGAAGCCATATGGTGCCCCTCAGACTGTAGTCCCAGCCTACTCAGATTCAAGAGGAGGGGACACAGATGGAGGTGAGTCACCATCATGTGGAAAGATGAATATACATGACGGGAGATACTGGTGTGGCCACACTGCTTTTCTCACCTTTTCCTGTAAACGTATGTAGAATAAACTCACCTGGGAATACCCTCTCTCTCTTTACCTTGATTTAATCTTATTTATAAAACTCCTTACCACATTTAAGTGCTCCATAAAACTTTGTTAAATGTATGGCTACATTATCATCACAACAAAAAAAGGTGGTGAGGAATATTTATCAAGAGCTTTCTATTAGACACTAAAAAATGTATTTATACATATTATCTCACTAAGTTCTCCCGACAACTCTGGGAAGTATTGGTGTTCCTATTTTATGGATGAGAGAGGTTCACACAGCTTGTAAGAGGTGGGGCTGAGGTTCAAAGCTGGGCTTTTAGCTACCATACAATGCATTTAACTTCTTTGTGATGTTGCAGGATGGGTATAGGGTGGACCAAGGCACACGATCGTCTTCACTTTGGTCATGGAGAACAGAGGGTGTGCCATGGCCAAGATCACAGTTGTAGTGTGTCTAGCTGTGGTTGCAGGAGGAGAATGTCACTGGGCATTCCCTCAGAGGTCCTCTGGGCAATGAGTGGCTATGCCATGTCATTTACTTCTTCCCACTTCCCACTTTCTTTCCAGTCTGGGCGACTGTCAATGCCATCTCTGTGGAAACCCCACAGGATGTTCTTCGGGCTGCCCGGGGAAAGAGTGTTACCCTTCCATGCACCTACCACACATCTGCCTCCGACCGAAATGGATTTATCCAATGGGACAAGCTTCTAAGGAGTCACTCGGTAAGCATCCTTAAAAAGCTGAGGGTATCATGGAAGTGAATATTACCTGACCATGACCTCTTAGAGGACAAGGACTACAAGTCTTTCAATAAATGTTAGAATAAACACCAGCACCCAAGCTGGACTGGGTGGGGAAAGAGTAGTGAGTGTTGGACCCAGTGAGGGGCATATTATGCCACCTTTATTTTGAAAAAGTGACCTTCCCTAAAATATCCTTCTGCTGGTCAGTCTTAAGTTACCTAAATTGTATCATTTGAGACAGTCATTCCTTTTGATTAGCACAGAGCTCTCCTTAAGGTCAGATTTTATTGAATAGTGTTTTGGAGTTTTTTTTCTTTCTTTCTTTCTTTTTTTCTGTTTAGGTTCTTTTGCGGAATATAGAAGACATTGTATTTTATTTTATTTATTTTTCTGTACCTATTTTTTATTGTTATGTTAATCACCATACATTACATCATTAGTTTTTGATGTAGCATTCCATGATTCATTGTTTGTGCATAACACCCAGTGCTCCATGCAGAACATGCCCTCTTTAATACCCATCACCAGGCTAACCCATCCTCCCACCCCCCTCCCCTCTAGAACTCTCAGTTTGTTTTTCAGAGTCCATCATCTCTCATGGTTTGTCTCCCCCTCCAATTTCCCCCCCTTCATTCTTCCCCTCCTGCTATCTTCTTCTTTTTTTTTTCTTAACATATATTCATTATTTGTTTCAGAGGTACAGATCTGTGATTCAACAGTCTTGCACAATTCACAGTGCTCACCATAGCACATACCCTCCCCAGTGTCTATCACCTAGCCCCCCATCCCTCCCACCCCACCCTCCACTCCAGCAACCCTCAGTTTGTTTCCTGAGATTAAGAATTCCTCATATCAGTGAGGTCATATGATACACGTCTTTCTCTGATTGACTTATCTTGCTCAGCATAACACCCTTCAGTTCCATCCACGTCGTTGCAAATGGCAAGATCTCATTCCTTTTGATGGCTGCATAATATTCCATTGTATATATATACCACATCTTCTTTATCCATTCATCTGTTGATGGACATCTTGGCTCTTTCCACAGTTTGGATATTGTGGACATTGCTGCTATAAACATCGGGGTGCATGTACCCCTTTGGATCCCTACATTTGTATCTTTGGGGTAAATACCCAGTAGTGCAATTGCTGGATCGTATGGTAGCTCTATTTTCAACTTTTTGAGGAACCTCCATACTGTTTTCCAGAGTGGTTGCACCAGCATGCATTCCTACCAACAGTGTAGGAGGGTTCCCCTTTCTCCACATCCCCACCAACATCTGTCATTTCCTGACTTGTTAATTTTAGCCATTCTGACTGGTGTGAGGTGGTATCTCATTGAGGTTTTGATTTGGATTTCCCTGATGCCGAGCAATGTTGAGCACTGTTTCATGTGTCTGTTGGCCATTTGGATGTTTTCTTTGGAAAAATGTCTGTTCATGTCTTCTGCCCATTTCTTGACTGGATTCTTTGTTCTTTGGGTGTTGAGTTTCATAAGTTCTTTATAGATTTTGGATACTAGCCCTTTATCTGATGTGTCATTTGCAAATATCTTCTCCCATTCTGTTGGTTGTCTTTTGGTTTTGTTGACTGTTTCTTTTGCAAAAGCTTTTGATCTTGATGAAGTCCCAATAGTTCATTTTTGCCCTTGCTTCCCTTGCCTTTGGCAATGTTTCTAGGAAGAATTTGCTGCGGCTGAGGTCGAAGAGGTTGCTGCCTGTGTTCTCCTTTAGGATTTTGATGGACTCCTGTCTCACATTTAGGTCTTTCAATCATTTGGAGTCTATTTTTGTGTGTGGTGTAAGGAAATGGTCCAGTTTCATTTTTCTGCATGGGGCTGTCCAATTTTCCCAACACCATTTGTTGAAGAGACTGTCTTTTTTCCATTGGACATTCTTTCCTGCTTTGTCGAAAATTAGTTGACCATAGAGTTGAGGGTCCATTTCTGGGCTCTCTATTCTGTTCCATTGATCTATGTGTCTGTTTTTGTGCCAGTACCATACTGTCTTATGATGACAGCTTTGTAATAGAGCTTGAAGTCTGGAATTGTGATGCCGCCAGCTTTGCTTTTCTTTTTCAACATTCCTCTGGCTATTCGGGGTCTTTTCTGGTTCCATACGAATTTTAGGATTATTTGTTCCATTTCTTTGAAAAAAGTGGATGGTATTTTGATGGGGATTGCATTGAACGTGTAGATTGCTCTAGGTAGCATTGACATCTTCACAATAGTTGTTCTTCCAATCCATGAGCATGGAACGTTTTTCCATTTCTTTGTGTCTTCCTCAATTACTTTCATGAGTATTTTATAGTTTTCTGAGTACAGATTCTTTGCCTCTTTGGTTAGATTTATGCCTAGGTATCTTATGGCTTTGGGTGCAATTGTAAATGGGATCGACTCCTTAATTTCTCTTTCTTCTGTCTTGTTGTTGGTGTATAGGAATGCCACTGACTTTTGTGCATTGATTTTATATCCTGCCACTTTACTGAATTCCTGTATGAGTTCTAGCAGTTTTGGGGTGGAGTCTTTGGGGCTTTCCACATAAAGTATCATATCATCTGCAAAGAGTGAGAGTTTGATTTCTTCTTTGCCAATTTGGATGCCTTTGATTTCTTTTTGTTGTCTGATTGCTGTGGCTAGGACTTCTAATACTATGCTGAATAGCAGTGGTGATAGTGGACATCCCTGCCGTGTTCCTGACCTTAGGGGGAAATCTCTCAGTTTTTCCCCATTGAGAATGATATTCGCTGTAGGTTTTTCATAGATGGCTTTTATGATATTGAGGTACGTACCCTCTATCCCTATACTCTGAAGAGTTTTGATCAAGAAAGGATGCTGTACTTTGTCAAATGCTTTTTCTGCATCTATTGAAAGGATCATATGATTCTTGCTCTTTCTTTTGTTAATGTATTATATCACGTTGATTGATTTGCGGATGTTGAACCAACTTGCAGCCCAGGGATAAATCCCACTTGGTCATGGTGAATAATCCTTTTAATGTACTGTTGGATCCTATTGGCTAGTATTTTGGTGAGAACTTTTGCATCCATGTTCATCAGGGATATTGGTCTGTAGTTCTCCTTTTTGATGGGGTCTTTGTCTGGTTTGGGGATCAAGGTAATGGTGGCCTCATAAAACGAGTTTGGAAGTTTTCCTTCCATTTCTATTTTTTGGAACAGTTTCAGAAGAATAGGTATTAATTCTTCTTGAAATGTTTGGTAGAATTCCCCTGGGAAGCCATCTGGCCCTGGGCTTTTGTTTTTTGGGAGATTTTTGATGACTGCTTCAATTTCTTTAGTGGTTATAGGTCTGTTCAGGTTTTTTTATTTCTTCGTGGTTCAGTTTTGGTAGTTGATACATCTCTAGGAATGCATCAATTTCTTCCAGGTTATCTAATTTGCTGGCATAGAGTTGCTCATAATATGTTCTTAGAATTGTTTGTATTTCTTTGGTGTTGGTTGTGATCTCTCCTCTTTCATTCATGATTTTGTTGATTTGGGTTATTTCTCTTTTCTTTTTGATAAGTCTGTCCAGGGGTTTATCAGTCTTGTTAATTCTTTCAAAGAACCAGCTCCTAGTTTCGTTGATCTGTTCTACTGTTCTTTTGGTTTCTATTTCATTGGTTTCTGCTCTGATCTTTATTATTTCTCTTCTTCTGCTGCGTTTAGCCTTTGTTTTCTGTTCTTTCTCCAGCTCCTTTAGGTGTAGGGTTAGGTTGTGTACTTGAGACCTTTCTTGTTTCTTGAGAAAGGCTTGTATTGCTATATACTTTCCTCTTAGGACTGCCTTTGCTGCATCCCAAAGATTTTGAACAGTTGTGTTTTCATTTTCATTGGTTTCCATGGATTTTTTAAATTCTTCTTTAATTTCCTGGTTGACCCTTCATTCTTTAGTAGGATGCTCTTTAGCTTCCATGTATTTGAGGTCTTTCCGACTTTCCTCTTGTGATTGAGTTCTAGTTTCAAAGCATTGTGGTCTGAAAATAGGCAGGGAATGATCGCAATCTTTTGGTACCAGTGGAGACCTGATTTGTGACCCAGGATGTGATCTATTCTGGAGAATGTTCCATGGGCACTAGAGAAGAATGTGTATTCTGTTGCTTTGGGATGGAATGTTCTGAATATGTCTGTGAAGTCCATTTGGTCTAGTGTGTCATTTAAAGTCTTTATTTCCTTGTTGATCTTTTGCTTAGATGATCTGTCCTTTTCAGTGAGGGGGTTGTTAAAGTCCCCCACTATTATTGTATTGTTGTCAATGTGTTTCTTTGCTTTTGTTATTAATTTCCTTATATAATTGGCCGCTCCCATGTTAGGGGCAAAGATATTTACAATTGTTAGATCTCTTGTTGGATAGACCCTTTAAGTAGGATATAGTGTCCTTCCTCATCTCTTATTATAGTCTTTGGTTTAAAATCTAATTTGTCTGATATAAGGATTGCCACCCCAGCTTTCTTTTGGTGTCCATTAGCATGGTAAATCATTTTCCACCCCCTCACTTTCAATCTGGGGGTGTCTTTGGGTCTAAAATGAGTCTCTTGCAGACAGCATATCAATGGGTGTTGTTTTTTCATCCAATCTGATAGCCTGTGTCTTTTGATTGGGGCATTTAGCCCATTTACATTCAGGGTAACTATTGAAAGATAGGAATTTAGTGCCATTGTATTGCCTGTAAGGTGACTGTTACTGTATATTGTCTGTGTTCCTTTCTGGTCTATGTTGCTTTTAGGTTCTCTCTTTGCTTAGAAGACCCCTTTCAAGATTTCTTGTAGGGCTGTTTTCATGTTTGCAAATTCCTTTAGTTTTTGTTTGTCCTGGAAGCTTTTTATCTCTCCTTCTATGTTCAATGACAGCCTAGCTGGATATAGTATTCTTGGCTGCATATTTTTCTCATTTAGTGCTCTGAATATATCATGCCAATCCTTTCTGGTCTGCGAGGTCTCTGTGGATAGGTCTGTTGCCAATCTAATGTTTCTACCATTGTA